AACTCAGTTTTTGGCCATTTTTAATACTGTTAGTCGGTTAACCGGTTAACACCTGAAAAACTTGGAAAAACAAGCTATGGGTTTGTGCTCATAACCCCCCAAAACCCGACCAGTTTAATTATTTTCTCCCGATTAAATACCTACTCATCATTACCAATCATATAGTAACAATTTAGGATCATAAAATGCAAATTCTACAACTACCGATTTTCATCCAAAATCTTAACCTCCAATTGTCCAAAAATGTCAAAACTCACAAATTCAACCAAATTCAATCAAACGAAATCCAATAATCACGGCTAAACATTACCCGACTAAACTACACAATTTGTTCCAGATTTTAACCGTTCAAACATCGACTCTATCTATTAAATCCATTTCTGCCCTAGAATGGAAAAAGATGAAAACATCCAAACAAAACCAAACACACACATACATAATCCTATACATTGGTAAGATAACAACATTTCACACCCTTACCTTGATTAAATCGAAGCTAGGAGTTGTTCTTGAGCTTTCCAAGCTTTTTCCCTCTTTCCCTTCTCTTTTCTCCTCTTCCTCTTTCTTTCTCTACTCTTTTCCTTCTTTCCTTTCTATCTTTTTCTCTTCTTCACTTTCTCTTATATATCCTTCTCTTCTATTTCTTTTCTTTCCATTATATTTCTTCTCTCAAAGTATCTACCAATTCCTTTAAATAATCATCCAATAATTTCAATAAATCAATTAATTAACATAAATAATTAATTAATGAAAATTGGGCTGTTACAACGGGACGCCTAAAAATATGAGTACGACGACTCGGAGTTTCTAGGTTTGAAAGGTGAAAGAATCAAAGGGAAGGACATGACACAGCGGTCAAACGGCTAGACTTATTCCTTCGGAAGGATTTAATGGTAAATAAAGTAATGAAAATACGGGAAATGTACGAAAATAGTAAAGGAAATGCACAGCGACGATATACTCGCATAAATTACAACCCAAAAAATAAAAGGATAATAACGAAATAAAAGCGACGATTGCCTCGCGTAAATTACAAGCCATAAAACGAAATACGAAAAGTACGGGGAATTTAGTAATTGTACAACAAAGAAAATAATGAATGGGACGACATAAGAATATAGACGAAAATTAACGGGCAAGACTACAGAGGCAAATCCGCACTTAGGTGACGGTTCAAATCGAACTGAAAGTAAGATGCTAGACATATTTTTAGTGTTAGAAATTAGTATCTACAAAATTGAAATTTTAATTAGAAAAAAAAAATCGGATTAATAAACTAATAATTAAATTAAAGAAAATATTAATTTTAAATTATGAAATGTTAACTCTTTGGATTAAAAAACTAAATTTCAAATTAAAAAAAAATTTAGTAAAGTTTTAAAAATAATTCTCTACAATTAAGTTTTTTTAAAACAATCTTAAGTCAAGATTTAATCACAACTTTTAGTTACAAGTTTTTAAAAAATAGTGTAAATTTAGTCTTAAAAAAATTAAGTTAAAGCTTTTAAAAAAAAAGTTTTAATTATGTGTTCTAAAATTAAGCGTTACAAAAAAAGTTTTAATCATATATTTTTTTTTTAAATATAGTTTTTAATCATTAAGCTTAAACTAAGTTTAAAAAAGGGTTTGATTATGTTAAAAAAAATTGTTTTGATTGAATTTTAATAATAATAAGGTTCCTATTTAAGCATTACACATGGGTCATAACTAAACAAATGGAAATTAACAAAAAAATGAACTAAAAGTAAAAACAAACAGAACGTAAAAAAGGGGGAAAAGGTCATATTGTTAGTCATTTGCCAGGGTTTGAGACCCTTTTTACTTCATCTTCTCCGCGCGGCGGCGGCCATTGACGGCTTCGTTGAGCTTTTTTTCTTCTTCTTCTCCCATGCATGGCCACGATCCTTTCCTATTTCTTCTTCCTATCTGAAAACAACATAAAAAAGAAGCAACAAGAAACCTTATGAATCTCTTTTTTTTTTATGGCTTACCCTTCCTTGATGGCTTGATGATGGTGATGATCTCGTGCCCGTTTTGATTTGATTTGTCGGTTCTCCGGCCAATGATGGATTCCTGAGGCCAGTTGCGGTTTTGATCTTCGTCCGGTTGTTCACGGTTCTGTTTGGGAACGATCGTCGGGTGTGCTTGGCCGGCGTCGAAACCTTAGGGTTTCCGTCGCCGCCTCCTGGTGGTTCCGGTTGGCCCGTTGATGATGAACTTGATGATCCTTTTTTCTGGATCTGAGGAACTCGTTCTGTTTTTCTGAACTTCAGATCTGATGATGAACTTCTATCCTTTTGATGCTCGCAGATGATTTCTGATGATCAATTCCTCGGGTCCCCCCTTCTTCTCTGATGTTTATATGGTTCTTATATTGTTCTGTTCTTGATGTTGTGGGCTTGGGTATTCACGATTTTGGCTGCAAAAATAGTGTTTTGCCTGTGCTGATTTTCAGGAAATTTAATTTGCTTGTTGTTCTGATAGTCATGCTTTGGTTGTTGCTTGGAAGTTGCGAACTCCATGGCTTTGTGGTTGTTGGATTTTTTCGTTTTGGCTTGACTGGGTTTGTTGGATTTTGGTTTGCGAAATTCTTGGTTCTGTTGTTGTTTCCATTTCGGATTTTGCTGGATAGTTGGTTTGATCCGCTTGACTTCAGAAATTTCTGGGAAAATGTGTTTGTGCTCTGTTTGGCAGAAATCATTTTTTTTAGGAAAAATCACTTTTTTTTGAAAAAATGCTTTTTCCAAAAGTACTTCGAACAATATCGCTTTTTCCTCTCTCTCTCTCTGAATAAACGAACAGATGTTGTCTGGTCTTGTGCCGAGCCGGAAATATAAGTCAGGAGCTGGCGACGGAATATTTCGTTGCCCTCCCGACGTACCCGATAATGACAATTAACTGAGGGTATCGGATCGAAAAAAACCCAATTTTAATTAACTCTATTATTTTCAACTGTGGTTGATTTTTCTTTGCAAGTTCGGAGGAATCGAAACTTTGAAGAAAACAGATTCGAAGACGACTTTAGGAAAAATAGGACCTTGTAGGAATTTAGGAACTTATTTTTGTAATTACTATTTTTTGTAACATTGTAATATTGTAAAAAATAGCATTTGATAAATAAACTCAATCTTTGAATTTCTTCCTATACTTTGTAAGAAATATAGAATTTAATGAATAAATTTCAATTTTCAACAAACCGACTTCAATTCTCAATTCGATGTCTCCGATCAAATTTCTCAATAATTCATCCACTTAAACTTAACCGAATAAATTCACTTAATTAAATTGGTCTGACTAAATTACTCCAAAATAATTAAATTCCTTTAATTAAATTTAATCGATTAAGTTCCACCAAATAAACTCGACTGAATAAGCTTGTCGGATCAAATTTGTCCGATTACATTCGTACCAACAAATTCATCTGATTCCATTTACCCGACTAAATTCATCCGGTCAAACTCATCCAAATAAATCAATCTGACTAACTTTAAATGATTCAAACTCGTCTAGTTAAATTCCACCTGACCAAGTTCCTCTGATTAAAAATTCATTCGATTAAAAGTCAACTGCTTGAATTCTTCAAATAAATTCAGTTAATGAAAATTGTCCGATTAAACTGTGACGTTCCAACTCCGAATTTGACCATTAAACCCTCTTGTACGATTTAAAACTGACATAACCGCTGAGCTCAACAAACCTCTTGCAAATCAATTCGCATCTGATATTAACGGTGAATATGACCTTGAACAGATAAGCAGAAAAGCAAATCTTCGCACCGATTTAACCTGAATCCATTTATATCGCAACGCACTTAACCCCATATAGTTTATGAATCCACAGGCACTTCCGAAATCCGACTGACGACTAAATCTCGGCTCTTGAATAAACGGTACCGTGTTACGATAAATCTGACGTCAAAAGTACCGTAAAATTCAGCTCATCCTCAAATAAATCACAGGACTCGGAGATGGAAACCCTAATCACTTGAGGAACCCCTGATGACGACTTGGTTTCATGAATTTTCATCAGGCTGCACATTAATGACAGTTTCGCCCTTCACCAATTAAACTACACATAGTGTAATTTTTCCTGCAAAACCAACAGGCTGAGCAAACTGGTTAGCGGTTAGTTTACAATGCAATGCGGAATGAGATGAAATGTAAAATGAACCTACTAATCTAAAGAGTAAAATTTGGGGTATTACAAATACATTATTCTTTTTCTTTCTTCAGAGATTCTCTTTTCGCTCACTTTCAATTGTATTGTTTTTCTTCTTTCAGTTCTCTATTTAGTGTGAAATCATCTTGCAACCAGGAAGTGGTTGTCTCACCTGAGTAAACGGTGAAAAAGAAGAGGCATGACCAATCAAAAAGATTTATTCTTTTTGAGACAAATCTTACCATCTTAAATGGTAAAAATGATTAAAATTAGTGCAAGTAGACGAAAGTTGTTTTCTATTATCAAGATCAAAAAGATCGATTCTTATTTATCAATATTGATTCAGTTAACTTCAAAATCTAGAGGCTAACTAATCTCTAGATCAATTTTTTTTCGCATAATATGTAGACATTTTCTTGCATGAATCAACTAATTAGCATTATATTATCTAGTATCTACCTCAACACCATGCATTTTAGCTTAGTCACTGTTAACTTCAATGCAATGCTCACCGTCCGTTTTCATAAAGATCCTTTCATCACTAACAAATCCTTTTTGTTGTCATGGCTACTATAAAATTTTAAAAATCAGAGACACTGGACCAAGGGTCACTAACAATTTGACTTAACTGAAACAAAGCTTAAATCTGATTCAATTACAGAGTCATTGCATGAATCAAATGTGAAAATTACTCTACAATTTCAGCTAATATTGAAAACTAAATCTGTGTCTTCTCACCAAAACAACATCATAGAACTCGAGAAAGAAATAAAACAAGAAAGAGCAAAAGTCAATAATCTATGATTTCTCTACTTGTAGGATGAATTTCTTCATGATAATAGTCATCGACGGAGAAGGACGATGTGGAGAGTTGAATTATCTTGGATGCCGTAATCTGCAATGGTCCAGTTGTCATCTAGATGCTTACTACCATAGATCAGTTGTTGCTGGTCCACTGGTACGCCTTCCATGCCCATCAGAATCTCCTTCACACTGGCTATCGTGTCAGAACTCTCAACCTTCAGAAGCGTCGTCTTTCCAGTCAGATACTGCATAACAATTGCCAACAAAACTAAAAATAAAATACCAGAAAGGAAACAAACGATAAAAGATTTGTATTTTCATGCAAGTATTTCTCTAGAAACTGAGAAGATAAGAGATACCTTGCTGGTTATGCAAATTTCTAGCTTCACAAATTTAGATGAACCAAAATAACAAGATGGAATCACAAGTAGCTCTGATGAATGACTTGCTAAAGTAACCCGATGGACGTTCTTCGGAAAATAATACAATTTTAGACTGCATTTCTTGGATCCAGCCAATATAGAGCAACCATACTCAGCCTCAGAAGAGTTAGGACCAATGCAGCTAATATTGACTGAATTTCCCAAAAGCATAGTACTATTATTGAGAATAAATATTTTGTTATCATTTTTCTCTTGAAGAACAATGGTTTTATCATTAGACTTCAAGGATACAATGAAAGAGCGACCATAAGAAAATTTAATAAGTGAATCCCCATGTCTATGGCTGAAATGGTTGGAAAACAATTCTGATAATGCAACAAAGTCACAATCTGGAAGTGGACAGTAACAAGGTGCATAGATGCATTCTTCTTCATGCTTTCTCTTTCCACCAAAACTTATTTTCTCCGTGCAACCATATTTTTCATTCGGACATGACATTAGGGTAAATTGCAGAATATTCTCAATACCTTTACAGCGTTTTGAGCTAATGCACAATGAGCATTTGGGACACTCGCAAAGTTTAGAACAGCAGGTAGAGCAAACAAAATGTCCATTATCACACTGAATTGCAACATATAAAAGAAAATGAACAAATTAGAATTTGAACCAATTGTTAGAATAAAATAAAATAAAATATAAGATTTATTTGTAATGCAACAAAAAAATATAACCAGACATAGAAATGACCATTCTCAATTTATTTTTCTCATCATTTAATCAAAAGAAGAAGCATACAAACTGCATGCATAAAATGCAAACCTGAAAGACTGGAATAGTTAAGTGTTGAAAACAGTTGCAGCAATCAAGAACTTCCGGGTTGGAAATAATAACAGAAACCGAGTTATCCTTATTAGCAACATCTTCTGCGGAATTAACACCTTCTTTCGCGCATGGCTCCATCGCTTGTTTGGCTAATACTAGTAGTGATAAAACAAATTAAAAGTTTGATTATTATATAACCAAAAAAATACTCACCGAGCAACTTCAAGTGTGTGTTGGCTTTTGGTCTTCAGGAGTCCCCTCTCTTACTTATGGCCTTTCATTACTTTTGATGTTTTCTCAACTATCCATTCATTTTCTCCTATTTAATGGCAAATACACGCATATGAATAATTCAGAAAAAAAGTATTAATGTTTATTACCGATTTAGTTTCAAATTATAAATGGAAAAAAAAATTAAAAGCATTCCCTTTTTCTTATTATATATTGTAATTTTTCAATTTAGATTTTTTTAGTATTAAGAAAAAATATTTTTTTAAAATAATTCTTATTTTATAATACAGAACTAACAATATTTTTTAATATAAATAAAATTTTTAAAGTGATGTGTAATTAAAAATAGAGAGAGCTTTTGATATATCTCTTGTGAAGCCTAGTGCTTTTGTTTTACATTGAAGAGTCATCTCATTGAAAATATAAAAAAAAAAAGTTAATTACAGTTTTTATCATCTTATTTTATTTAGTTTATAAAATTAATCATCATATTCCAAATTTAAATGATTTTAATTATCTACTCACTTTTGCATTGAAAATTAAAATTGATAATGTTGTATTTTTTGGTAGGGGATATCTTATAACTTAATCAGATGTTTAGGGTTGAATCCAAACGTTGATACGTTGTGTTATATGTTTTTAGAAAAAACTTTGTCACCTATTGTGATATTATCCCGGTTCAAGGAATTACTCTTTATAATGTGTATTGAGGTATCAATTTCTGCCCAAAAAAAATATATTAAGGTAATGATAGTTTTTCTACAAGTGAGTTATTTGTCAATTAGTTAAGATCTTTTGTATTTTTTAAATTATTATTAATAGATATTTTTTAATTATTTTTTATTTTTAAATTATCTAATTTGTAGATTTAAGTATAAATTTAAATCCACCCTTTTACATTTCAAAAATGGTTGGAAGTTGTAAGTCTTTCAACGTACACTACTACGAAAAACACATATAATAACATTTGTGAAACATATATAATGATGGTTGTACGTCCGTTGTTAGGTAACATGTAATAGTATGTATGCTCGTTTCCACAACGGGCGTGCGACCGTGGTTATAAGATAGGTAGCACCTATCACAACAGTTATATTAAACAAATATGGTGAAATCATTTGCTTTTTATTATATATATTTCTGCTTTTATACATTTCCCATTTTTTAAACCTGTATTTTTGTGAAATGTATCAGACTAGAAACATCAACAAACATTTGTCAATCGTATCATACCAAAAAATGTATTACATCAAAGCCAATGATTAATTCATGATTAACATATACATCATATCGTCTAGTTAATTAAACACAATGACTTTTAATTATTTTTACTCTCAAACAATTGCATTCCACAATTATTGTACTTTTTTTTTACTCACACAATAACACAAACAATTGGCATGCATAACTGATACATTGACACATTACAATCTATTGGATACATGAATGATAGTCTTCAATCTTCATGCCTGGTTGAATTTGTGTAATTCTCAAGGTCTTCATCTGATTCAGAATCAATTGCATCCAAATTTCTTTGATCCTTCACAATAGCTTATACCTTTCTTATCTTTTCAGAGTTAAGATTCTTTATAAGAATCTTCTTGTAGTCTGTTACACCAGACTGTTCAACAACACTAATATGATCCCTAACAACTGCAACTTTCTTGGTTTTGTTCAACCATAACTCAAACATATCAATAACCTCCTTTGAAGGCTCAATCTCTTGTACAAGTTTTCTCCCACAAGCTTGATCTTGATTCATGTTGAGAGAAGGATCTTAAATCTGAGAGAGGGATCTGAAATATGAGAGTATGATAGGTCTAGATGGTGTCAAAGTGGTCGTAGGAAATGTTAGACGATGACATTGATCTAGAAGGGGGGTTTAATAGATCACTAATTTTTAATAATTTGCGCTTAAAAATTTGTTTTAAAAATATTCAAAATCGGCCTCAGATTAAAACTCGTCTACATGAACATTTATTGGATTGATCGGGTATGCGAAACTGAATAAAATAATTTTGATGAGGTAGTTGAATCAATAAGTTTCCCAATCAATAATTCAAATAAAAGCCACTTAAAGTGAACCAATTTCCAATGCTTAATTGAAGATAAAATTTGATTTACAATATATCAAACATTTTGTGTGTTATCAATATATCAAGCACTTGACGTACAAAACACACCAAGTCAAATTTCCTTTGATTTTGTAGTGCAGAAATTTTCACACTTGCAATCAAAGTGATTGCAATGGTTTTTCACAACAGTTTTAAACACTACAAATCAATTGAAATATTGCTAATAATTGATCTCACACAAACTTCAACAATATAAAAGTATAGAGATAGAGAGAAAAATAACGACACCCAGTTTGTTTAGGGAGTTCCCCTTTCGTCCTCGCATCGGGCACGTCTGTCCCCAATTCTAAAAATAGAATTGAGATATGTATAATATATGTGTGCAATATTCAGTACAAGAGAAGTCCTAGCTAACCAACAATCTAATCAAATTATTGAAGTTGAATCTAACCACATCTCTCCCCTTGATTCCAGCTTAATCAAGTGCATCAAACACTTCGAACAAACCTCCGGTTATCGCTACTCACTTGACCGAACCAAGGTCGGTCATCTCAATGGTCTTCATCATGTCTTATTAAACTCCATCATCACCTTAGTATTATTTTCCATGTAGATAAGATCATCTACATATAGAGAGATTAAGAGAGTGTACTGACCTTGAGACTTGATGTAAAGTGTAGGCTCACTCTTGCTCCTCCTGAATCCTTGACCCATGAAATACAAATCGATTTTGCTATACCGTGCTCGAGGTGCTTGCTTCAAACCGTAGAGTGCTTTTCTTATTCTTAACACTTTGCTTTCTTCTCCTTAAGACATGAATCCTTGTGGCTGTTCTACATAGATCTCTTCTTCAAGTACGTCGTTGAGGAAGGAATATTTGACATCAAGTTGATGGATACTCCACCCTTTTTGTGCCACAAGAGCTATTAGATCTCTAATGGTATCAAGACGATCTACTGATGCAAATGTCTCATTGTAGTCAATGGCAGGTTGTTGTGAGTAACCCTTAGCTACTAGTCTCGCCTTGTGTTTCTGTATGGTGCCATCAGGGTTGAGCTTTGTCTTATAAACCCACTTAACCCCAATGACATATTTTCCAAGGGGACGATTTACTAACTCCCATGTGTTGTTTTTTTCCTATCATTTTTATCTCTTCTTCCATTGCCTTGACCCATACTTCCTGCTTTGACGTTTCTTCAAAGCTTCCAGGTTCAAGTATAGCTAAGTTACAGATTTCATATATGTCCACCAAAGATCTTGATCATCTTGTAGTAGACTCTAGTGATGATAGTTCTTGATCTTGTTGTTGTGGTGGAGGTGAAACAAATTCACCTGGGTCTTCTTCCTCAGCTTCTTTTTGAGGTAGTTGAGCTGGTATAAGGATGTTCTTTTTCTTTTTTCTTCATCCCGATTCCATGAAGCATTCTCATCAACTTCAACATCTCGACTGATGATGAGTTTTTCGTTTGCAAGTTGTAGACACTGTAGCCTTTAGAGATTGTGTTATACCCCAAGAAGATACCTCGTATAGTCTTGTCTTCAAGCTCGTGCCTCTTCACGTCTGGAATATGAATATAGCATATAGATCCAAAGACCATTAGGTGCTTTGCTGATGGCTTATTTCTGTTCCAAGCTTCAATTAGAATCTTATCTTGTACTGCCTTAGTTGGACATCTGTTGAGTATGTAAACAGAAGTGTATACTGCTTCAGCCCAGAATGTGTTAGAAAGTCCCTTCTCCTTGAGCATCGATCTAGCCATTTTTCATAACTGTGCGATTATTTCTCTCTGACACACCATTTTTTTGAGGAGAATATACGACCGTAAGTTGTCTCTCAATGCCTTCATCCTCACAAAAAATTTCAAACTCGTGGGAGGTGTACTTTTTGCCTCGATCACTCCTTAGTACTTTTATCTGTTTTCCACTTTGATTTTCAACAAGGGCCTTGAACTTTTTGAATACTCCAAAAACTTTTGATTTTTATTTTAGGAAATAGACCCATGTCATTCTAGAGAAGTGATCAATGAATAGTATGAAGTACCTGTTTTTCTCGTGTGATGGCATCCTCATTGGTCCACAGACATCAGTATGTATCAGCTCCAACAGATCTTTCGCTCTCCATGCTCCGCTTGTTGAGAACAAAAATCGATGTTGCTTACCAAAGATACATCCTTCACACACTTCACTATTCTCCTTTATGCTTGGAAGATCTCTCATCATGTTCTTCTCATGTAACAACTTCAAGGCATGTGTGTTAAAGAGGCCAAATCTTTGATGCCAGAGCCGTGAATCATCAACTTGTACCTCCATGGAAATGTTTGTTGCATATTTTAAATATAGCGAGAAGATTATATTGCTCTTATTCATTTTCACATGGGCTATCTCAGACCTTTTATTTTTGTTGTCTAGGATTTTGCGTACACCTCCTTCAAAGTGAACTGTATAGCCTCTCTCCATCATTTGGCCAATGCTTAGAAAATTTTCTTTTAGGCTGGGAACTAGTAAAACATCATGGATGAGTCGCGTACCTTTATTTGTCTCCACCATGACAGTACCTTTTTCTTTTGATTCAACCACACTTCCATTTCCCAATCGAACTTTGACTTTGACAGACTCATCAATGCTTTTGAAAATAGTCTAATCCTTAGCCATGTAATTTCTACATCTACCATCTTCAATAGTTCGAAATCTCTTCTTAGAGATTGAAGTTTAACGGCACGTACCTTATCGCTTCCTTGAAACTCCTCCTACAATGTGTTCCACGCTTCTTTGACAGTCTTACCTCCCATAATTTTTGTAAAAATTACATCAGTCACCGCTTGTTGCAAGGTG